CTTGAAACATTTCTCTCGGTACTGTTGTTGCAAGACCATATTGGAGGCATGAAACGTTGTGAACGTTTTTCAAGCATATCATAGTCAGTGATAGTATCTCCACAAAGTTTCAATTTAGAAGTAATTCTGAACATCGCAGAATTATATTCAGAAACAGACTTAAAGTTCTGGAGCCTCAGATGAGCCCAATCATATCGTGCTTGGGGAAGAGTGACCAACTTTAAGTTGTCATATTTTTCCTTTAAGCCATTCCACAAAATAAGTGGATCTTTGACTGTGAGATATTCTATTTTCAATCCTTCATCAAGGTAGTGGCGCAAGAAAATCAAGGCCTTAGCACAGTCTTGGGTAGATACTTTTTTTTTATCTTTAATGGCGTATCCAAGACTCATTGCATCTAAAAGGATTTCAGCATCCAACATCCATGTCATATAGTTCTTGACCGAAATTTCAAGGGCAACAGACTTTCTTTTCATAATATCGGTCATAATTAAAAGAGGAAAAAAGTTATACCTTAATCTTCTCAAAAAGCTTCTTGAGACGATAGAGTCTCGTGCTGATAACGTAAAATAAAACAGTAAAGGAGAATATTGCAAAGAAAGAGAGAGAATTCTTATTGATTTGGGATGAATTACAATAAAATAGAACCCCTCTATTTATAGGAAAAAAGTGACTTAGCCACCAAGTAATAATCCCTAAAATCTCTCTAAAATATAGACATTTACCTTAAATAAAACTCTATTTATAATAGAAAGCTTAATGTTGGAATTTGGAAAAAAAAAAATTGGTCTCCATCTCGGTATCCGTATTGGAGCCTCAAGTTACCTGGACTCATATCATGTCAGACCCATTAAAAGTGGAAGTGTTTCCCTCTGATTGAGGATTGACGGATCCTATCCATCTCATTACAAGTCTTTGTTATTACCTATGGTATTGTATCGTATTGTTACTTCAAATACAATATTTATTTTTATTGTTACTTAAATTTTATTGTACCGTATCATTAATTTCGTCGTTACATAACGATAAAAAGTGTCACTTTATGTAATGACGAATTTGGTGTGGTGGCGCGTTACCTTGCTTTTTCTCTCGTTTTGTCCTTCTTTACTATTAAATAATTATATTTTATTCTTTTGTTGATTAGGTCAGCCATGGCGAATAAGAGAGAATTTCAGAGAAGATTGAGAGAGAAATAGCTCTATTGATAAGCTCTGTACAGAGACAAAATGATAATAAATCTCTTTGTATTTACAGACTTTTTACTCTTTTATATACTGACTAACTGACAATGACATATAACTAATTCAACTAACTCTTCTCTACTTAACTTAACACCTAACTGACAACTATACATTGCTAAGTGACAGTTGTATCACCACTAACTTCCACACTCCCCCTCAAGCTGAGGGATGAATACAATCTCTTCATTTCCAGCTTGTCCATCTTATAGTCATGTTGTGGTCTGCACATGCTCTTTGTAAGTAGATCAGCAATTTGTTCTTTAGTCCCAACGTGTTGAGTCTGAATCTTCCTTCTTGAATCTTTTTTCTTACAAAATGACAATCAATATCTATGTGTTTTGTTCTTTTATAAAAGATAGGATTAGCTGTAATATGAATGGCATCTTTACTATCACACAACCTAACTGGTACAGGTACCTCTCTTCCCAATTCCTTGAATAGACCTATCAACCATGTAATTTCTGCTACAGTAGTAGCCATACTTCTAAACTCAATTTCAGCAGAACTTCTAGACACAGTTTCTTGTTTCTTAGATTTCTACGAGATTAAGGCATCACCAAATTTTACTACATAGCCAGTAACTGATTTTCGTGTCTCGACACAAGCTCCCTAGTTTGAATCACAGTAGGCTGCTAGCTTCAAAGTGTTGTCGGTTGGCATGAAGAGTCCAAGTCCAGGTACATTCTTGATGTATCTGACCACTTTCATGGCGACTTTCAAATGAGATTGCTTTGGTGTATGCATATGTTGACTGAGTACTTGAACTATAAATGCTATGTCTGGCCTGTTCATAGTTAAGTATAGTAGCTTGCCAATAATCCTCTAATAACCACCTTTATCCTTAAGTTGTTGATCATCAGCATCTGCCTTATTGTTTACAACTGTGTCAAATTCTATAGAAGTGAGTTTGTGATTGAACTCCAAATGAGTTCCAGCAGGTTTAGCCCCTGCTAGCCCTGTTTCTGAAACAAGTTCAAGGGCATATTTTCTCTAGCACATGTGAATTTCGTTTGCTAACCTCGAGAATTCAATCCCTAAAAAATACTCCAGTTCTCCCAAGTCCTTCATCTTGAACTTGTTCTGAAGGTCCTTTCTGACTTGCTGAATTAGTGTTAAGTGAATACCTGTGACCAAGAGGTCATCAACATAAACAAGAACAATGACCAGCTCTCTTTCTTTCCTTTTTGGAAATAAAGAATAATCATAGTATGACTGCACAAACCCCATATCAGTCAAGGCCTCTGTCAGTTTTAAGTTCCATTGCCTAGCTGCTTGCTTGAGGCCATACAAAGACTTGTGAAGCTTACATACCTTCTTGGACTCCCCTTGGCTTGAAAAGCCATTTGGAATCTGCATGTAGACATCCTTAACAAGATCTCCCTGTAGAAAGGCATTGTGAACATCCATTTGAAAGATGTACCAACTGGAGGCTGCAGCTAGAGCCACCACTGTTCTGACAGTCACCATTTTGGCTACAAGAGAGAAGGTTTCCTTGTAGTCAAGACCCTCTTGTTGACTATAATCTTTAGCATCCAGTCTTGCTTTGTATCTTTCCACCTCCCAGTAGACTTGTACTTTACTTTAAACATCCATTTGCATCCTATGGGAACCTTATCAAGTGGTAGATCAACAATATACCAAGTCTTATTGTCCTCCAAGGATAAGATCTCAGCCTTCATAACATTCACCCAATGTGGATCCTTGTTTGCTTAATCAAATGACCTTGGGCTCAAAAATAGTAAAATATGTAGCAACAGAAATCATGTAAGCAGAAGACAATTGATCATAGTTCACATACTGAACTATTGGATAGGCACATGTGGACTGCTTAGTGTGCACTACATAGTCTTTCATCCAAATAGGAGGTTTGGACAATATGGAAGACTTTTTGAGAGGTGGAAGAGAGGCATGAGAAGCAGCAGTGCTAGGTACATCAGTAGACTGAGTAGGAGAAGGCATCTCGTACATAGGAGCTTCAATCTCTACTATGGGCTTCACAACTTCAGGACATGAGATAGGAGCATCCAGTGCTGAAAGCTGAAGAACTGGGAAGATTGGAGAATGACCAGATTGTAGATGTTGAAAAGGAAAGATATCTTTCTTAAGCACAGTATCCATGCTAACAAAGAAGTGATGAGTAGAGAGATCATAGAGAAGATAGACTTTCTAGGAAGATGAATACCCAAGGTGAACTGCAAAAAATGCTCTAGGACTGAATTTATCTGTCTTTCTCATATTAGTAGCATAACATAGGCCACCAAACACTCTCAAATGATGCAAGGAGGGTGGTCGAAGAAACAAATTCTCAAAGGGAGATTTGCCTTTCAACAGAGCATTAGGCAGCTATTCAGCAAGTAAACTGCAGTAGAAACACACTCACCCTAAAACTTCAAATGGATTAAGGCTTGAAACCTTAAGGCTCGAGCCATGTTTAGAATATACATATGCTTTCGTTTTACTATACCATTTTGTTGAGGAGTGTAGATACATGAGCTTTGACGAACTATCCCAAAGTCCTTTAACAGAGAATTAATCTGAATGTTGACAAACTCAAATCCATTATCAGTTCTCAAACATTTTACATTACAACAGAACTGATTTCTAACCAATACCAATAAATCTATCAGAACAACAATTGAGTCTGCCTTAGTACTCAATAAGAAAATCCAGGTATATCTAAAGAAATCATCTGCTAGGGTCAGGAAATACCTCTTACCATCATGCGTAGGTACTCTATAGGGACCCCAAACATCAACATGTACGAGATCAAAAGGATGAACATAACAAGTATTATTGAGAGTAAAAGGTAACTTTGACTGTTTGGCAAGTGGACACACCGTACATAGATGATCTTTCAATTGTACAACTTTTAAACTATCAATATTTTTCAATACTCTCAAAGGAGAATGGGCTAATCTTCTATGCCACAAAGAAGTATTGTCACAAGTCTTATTCATTATATCACCACTAGGTTTCTTACTTGAACTAGTTGTTAGAGATAGCTATATAAATGTTAGAGATAGCTATGTAATTATCCCACATTGGAATAGGAGTAGTATCCCCTTTGTATAGAGTAGCTATAAATAGCACCTCGTGTATTGTATCACACACAATATCAATATATATCATATTTTCTCTCGTGCCTTCTCACATGGTATCAGAGCTATCGTGAGAGATTTATCGTTGTGCATAAATTCCAGCAATTCCGGGAAGTAAAATCAGTCACCGAAACCCTTTTTTTTCGGCGACTTTCAAAGTTATTTTGCGTCTGCTTTGTCTCGGTCAGTGTTGTGCACAAAATCCAACACTACCACAAGAGTAGTCACTGTCCGGCGACCAAATCCCAGTGAAAATCTCCGGCGGTACTGTAGCTGTCCAAAGAAAATTTTCCGGCGAAGTTCCAACGTTGCGTGGGCCACCTTCCGGCCATTTTTTGGCGACGACTCTTCAGGACAGATTGTTTCCCTTGCAATTCCGAGCCTACCCATCCAGGTTACACCAAATTCCGACCACTTTTTTATTTTTCCGGCGTGAATAGTGATTTCAAAAAGTTGACTTCCAGCCATTTTTTGAAAAAGTTCCTTTAGAACAGTTGGGTCATCTAGTAATTCCGATCCTACCCCTAATGTTTTTATTTCATTCCGACCACTTTGATTATTTTCTGGCTGCAACAGTAACTTTCCAACTGCTACAATAGTTTACTATTCTGGTTCAGTGTTCCTTACTCTATTTTCAGTGGATTACAGTTGATTATTTCTCTTATTTGATAATAATTTACAAGATGTCTTTGGAAATTGATGTTTTTGGGTCTAAAAGCATGAGTTCTGGAAACTCTAATGTTATGATTACCTCGGAACCTTTAATGGGAGGTTCAAACTACTTAGCTTGGGCTTCATCTGTCGAGTTGTGGTGTAAAGGTCAAGGTGTGCAAGATCATCTGATTAAACAGTCTAGCGAAGGAGATGAAAAGGCGATAGCGCTTTGGGCAAAAATTGATGCTCAATTATGTAGCATCTTGTGGCGTTCTATTGATTCTAAGTTGATGCCTTTGTTTCGACTATTCCAGACATGTCATTTGGTTTGGGCAAAGGCTCGTACGTTATACACTAATGATATATCTCGCTTCTATGATGTGATATCACGGATGACAAACTTAAAGAAGCAAGAATTAGATATGTCTACTTACTTGGGTCAGGTACAAGCAGTCATGGAGGAATTTGAGACATTGATGCCAGTTTCTGCTAGTGTGTCAAAACAACAAGAGCAGCGACAGAAAATGTTTCTAGTTCTTACACTCGCTGGACTTCCTCATGATCTTGATTCAGTACGAGACCAGATTTTGGCGAGTCCGACTGTCCCTACAGTTGATGAATTATTCTCTCGATTACTTCGCCTTGCTGCAGCACCAAGTCACCCAGTGATTTCATCACAGATACTTGATTCCTCTGTTCTTGCATCCCAGATAGTGGATGTTTGGGCATCTCAAGCTATGGAGAATAGACGAGGAGACGGTCGTTTTGGGAGATCTAGACCCAAGTGTTCTTATTGTCACAAACTTGGACAAACTCGCGAAATGTGTTATTCCTTAAATGGTCGTCCACCCAAAAATGCCTACGTTGCTCAGAGCGAGACTACAGGTAACCAGGGCTTTTCTGTATCTAAAGAAGAATATAATGAGCTCCTTCAGTATTGAGCAAGTAAGCAAACATCTCCACAAGTATCCTCAGTTGCCCAGACTGACACTCCTATTGCTGGTAATTCATTTGCTTGTGTTTCTCAGTCTAGTACTCTTGGACCATGGGTCATGGACTCAGGCGCTTCTGATCATATCTCTGGTAATAAATTACTTTTGTCGAATATTGTATATTCACAGTCTCTTCCTACTGTTACTTTAGCCAATAGATGTCAAACTAAGGCACAAGGAGTTAGACAAGCCAACCCATTGTCTTCTATCACCCTAGATTCCGTTCTTTATGTTCCTGGTTGTCCTTTTAGTCTTGCATCTGTTAGTCGTTTGACTCGTGCCCTCAATTGTGGTATATATTTTATTGATGATTCTTTTATTATGCAGGACCGCAGTACGGGACGGACAATTGGTACAGGTCGTGAATCAGAAGGTCTTTACTACCTTAACTCGATCAGTCCTTCCACAACATGTCTAGTTACAGATCCTCCAGATCTAATCTACAGACGTTTAGGACATCCGAGTTTATCCAAACTTCAAAATATGGTGCCTAGTTTATCCAGTTTGTCTAGATTAGATTGTGAGTCGTGTCAGCTTGGGAAACATACCCGAGCTTCCTTTACGCGTAGTGTTGAGAGTCATGCAGAGTCTGTTTTCTCCTTGGTTCATTCTGATATATGGGGTCCTAGTAGAGTCAGTTCAACCTTGGGATTTCGTTATTTTGTTAGCTTTATTGATGATTACTCAAGATGTACTTGGCTTTTCTTAATGAAAGATCGTTCTGAGTTATTCTCTATATTCCAGAGTTTTTGTGCTGAAATCAAAAACCAATTTGGTGTCTCTATCCGCATTTTTCGCAGTGATAATGCCTTAGAATATGTATCTTCTCAGTTTCAGCAGTTTATGTCTTCTCATGGAATTATTCATCAGACATCTTGTCCTTATACCCCTCAGCAAAATGGGGTTGCAGAAAGAAAGAATAGGCACCTTATTGAGACTGCTCGCACACTTCTAATTGAGTCTCGTGTTCCGCTGCGTTTTTGGGGCGATGCAGTTCTCACAGCTTGTTATTTGATTAATAGGATGCCTTCATCTCCCATCAAGGGTCAGATTCCACATTCAATATTGTTTCCCCAGTCAGCCTTATACCCTCTTCCACCTCGGGTTTTTGGGAGCACATGTTTTGTTCATAACTTAGCCCCGGGGAAAGATAAGTTAGCTCCTCGTGCTCTCAAGTGTGTCTTCCTTGGTTATTCTCGTGTTCAGAAGGGATATCGTTGTTATTCACCTGATCTTCATAGGTACCTTATGTCAGCTGACGTCACATTTTTCGAGTCTAAACCTTTCTTCACAACTGATGTCACTTCTGCTGACCACCATGACATATCTGAGGTCTTACCTATACCGACTTTTGAGGAGTTTAGTAATCCTCCTCCACCTTCAACCACAGAGGTTTCACCCATACCAACTTTTGAGGAGTCCAGTGTTATCCCTCCTAGTTCCCCAGCCACAGGAACACCACTCTTGACTTATCATCGTCGTTCGCGCCCTACATCAGGCCCATCTGATTCTCGTCCTGCACCTGACATGGCTCCTACTGCGGATCCTGCTCCTAGTACACCGATTGCACTTCGAAAAGGTATACGGACCTCACTAAACCCTAATCCTCATTATGTTGGTTTGAGTTATCATCGTCTGTCATCTCCCCATTATGCTTTTATATCTTCATTGTCCTCGGTTTCCATCCCTAAGTCTACAGGTGAAGCATTGTCTCATCCAGGATGGCGACAGGCTATGAGTGACGAGATGTCTGCTTTACATACAAGTGGTACATGGGAGCTTGTTCCTCTTCCTTCAGGTAAATCTACCGTTGGTTGTCGTTGGGTTTATGCAGTCAAAGTTGGTCCCGATGGCCAGATTGATCGACTAAAGGCACATCTTGTTGCCAAAGGATACACTCAAATATTTGGGCTAGATTACAGTGATACATTCTCTCCAGTGGCTAAAGTGGCATCAGTTCGCCTTTTTCTATCCATGGTTGCAGTTCGTCATTGGCCCCTCTATCAGTTGGACATTAAGAATGCCTTTCTTCATGGTGATCTTGAGGATGAGGTTTATATGGAGCAACCACCTGGTTTTATTGCTCAGGGGGAGTCTCGTGGCCTTGTATGTCGCTTGCGTCGGTCACTTTATGGTCTAAAGCAGTCTCCTCAAGCCTGGTTTGGTAAGTTCAGCACGATTATCCAGGAGTTTGGCATGACTCGTAGTGAAGCTGATCACTCTGTGTTTATTGCAACTCTGCTTCAAGTCTATGTATTTATCTGGTAGTCTATGTTGATGATATTGTTATTACGGGCAATGATCAGGATGGTATTACTAATCTGAAGCAACATCTCTTCCAGCGCTTTCAAACTAAGGATCTAGGCAGATTGAAGTACTTTTTAGGTATTGAGGTTGCTCAATCTAGCTCAGATATTGTTATTTCTCAAAGGAAATATGTGTTAGACATTCTTGAGGAAACATGGATGACAGGTTGCAGACCTCTTGACACGCCGATAGATCCGAATTCTAAACTTCTGCCTGGACAGGGGGAGCCGCTTAGCGATCCTGCAAGCTATAGGTGACTGGTTGGTAAATTAAATTATCTCACAGTGACTAGGCCCGACATTTCTTATCATGTGAATGTTGTAAGTCAGTTTATGAATTCTCCCTGTGATAGTCATTGGGATGCAGTTGTCCGCATTATCCGGTATATAAAATCGGCTCCAGGTAAAGGATTACTGTTTTTGAGGATCGAGGTCATGAGCAGATCGTTGGGTACTAGGATGCTGATTGGGCAGGATCACCTTCTCATAGACGTTCTACGTCTGGATATTGTGTTTTAGTAGGAGGAAATTTGGTGTCCTAGAAAAGTAAGAAACAGAATGTAGTTGCTCGGTCTAGTGCAGAAGCAGAATACCGAGCAATGGCTATGGCAACATGTGAACTACTCTGGACCAAACAATTGCTCAAGGAGTTGAAATTTGGTGAAATCAGTCGGATGGAACTTGTGTACGATAATCAAGCTGCACTTCATATTGTATCAAATCCGGTGTTTCATGAGAGAACTAAACACATTGAGATTGATTATCACTTCGTCAGAGAAAAGATACTCTCAGGAGATATTACTACGAAGTTTGTGAGATCGAATGATCAACTTGCAGATATTTTCACCAAGTCCCTCACTAGTCCTCGCATTGATTATATATGTAACAAGTTCGGTACATATGATTTATATGTTCCGGCTTGAGGGGAGTGTTAGAGATAGCTATGTAAATGTTAGAGATAGCTATGTAATTGTCCCACATTGGAATAGGAATAGTATCCCCTTTGTATAGAGTAGCTATAAATAGCACCTCTTGTATTGCATCACACACAATATCAATATATATCATATTTTCTCCCGTGCCTTCTCACACTAGTAATGGTATTTACAAGTGAATGATGCAGATACTTATCCCCTTTATTCACTGGCTGGTGTGAGGAAGATGCTAGACCATTTGCTTGCAGAATGTAGAGACCATGCCATTCTCTATCAATCCATAATACCTTCCCGCTGAAGAGCTCCTAAAATAAACAGAAGTCAGGGAAGAATGCAACCAAGCAACTTAGCTCCTTAGTGATTTTGGAAACAGACAACAGATTGTACTTAAACTCTGGAACATATAAGACATTGTGAACTGTTCTATCTTGGAAGATTGAGGACTCTCCTGATTTACTAATAGAGATTTGACCACCAGTAGGTAAGAGTACCTTACTTCTGGACTCTTTAGGCATATCTGAACACTTATTAAGCAAAGCCATATTTTGTACCATATGATTAGTGGCACCTGTGTCTATTATCCAGTTAGTATCAACCAGAGTAGACAACAGGGCAGAATAGGTACCTGCAGTGTCAGTTTTGGCTACATTAGCCATAAGTGCAACTTCATTTCCTTTGTTGAGAAGCTGCAGAATCTGAGAGTATTGCTCAGGAGTGAAGAACTGAGTTGGTGAAGGAACTCCAGGTTGAGAGCAATGTTGACCCCCTGAATATTGATCACCTACACTAGTTACATTGTTGGCATATGTGTTGCTATAAGTAGTTGGAGTCCTCATTTTTCTTAAATTTAAAATCTGCTGGATAACTATGCAATTTGACGCAATTTGCCCTGGTGTGTCCCTTGTAGTTACAATAGTCACATGGAACCAAGGCCTTGCCAGAATTGTTCTTTTGTATGTAACCTCCTGTTGAAGTTTTGTTGCTCAGCAAGGTTGTAGGGTCAGTAACTTCAACACCAATACCAACAGTGATTCCAGCACCATTTTTTCTTTGACTCTCAAAATTATATATGCCTAATTGATGTTAGGTAATGGACGAGTCATAAGAACTTGATCTTTAGCATGTTCAAATTATTCATTTAAACCCGTCAAAAATTGGTACAATTTTTGTGTCTGGTAATGTTCAGCATGTCTTCTAGACTCGGGACAACCATAAGAGGGAGGAGGTTCTAGGGCCTCGTACTCATCCCACAATTCTCTAAGTCTGGAGAAGTACACGGACACGGATGACACATCTTGAGTCAAAGTAGTAATTTCCTTGTGAAGATAGTAGCCTTTAGAGATGTTTACTTTATCAAACATTTCCTTAAGATCTTCCCACACCTTGTGTGCATTAGATGCATAAATCACAGTACTAATGAGATTTGGTGAAACAACATTTATAATCCAATCTAGAACAATTGCATTACATCTCTCCCACAGTTCGTGTAGACTATGCTCATACATTTCCCTTCTACAGGTATCGAGAATAAAGTGTAGCTTTTTTTTTGCCATGCAATACAATTTTCATAGATCTACTCCAAATTGAATAATTTTCAGATCTTTAAAGTTGAATAGAGATCAGTACCGAACATGGCATGTTTGATGGATGAATGTATAGAGGATGATTGTGATGAACTAGATAATGTCATGAAGATTTGGGGCTGGAGCTGTAGCACCTTAAGTAGTAGAGACGGAATCATCTTCTTCAGAAAACTTAGTTGTGTTACTGATTTGGAACCACAACAAGCAATTAGAGATGAATTTCACAGTAATTTATCGAGATTCAACTGAAATTAACAAGTTCCAGAAACCCTAGGTTGCAGAGGAACTTTTCAGATGAAGAAATAGCTCGATCTAAGAGCAGATACACTTCTCTAATACTCCTCCGTAGTAGCTGAGCTGACCGAATTACCAAAGCTCTAATACCATGTTGATTAGCTCAGCCATGGTGAATGAGAGAGAGAGTTTTTGAGAAGATTGAGAGAGAAACAGCTCCATTGATAAGCTTTGATGTACAGAGACAAAATGAAAATAAATCTCTTTGTATTTACAGACTCTTTACTCTTTTATATACTAACCGACTGACAATGACATATAACTAATTCAACTAACTCTTCTCTACTTAACTTAACACATAACTAGCAGATGTACATTGTTAAGTGATAGATGTATCACCACTAACTTCTACACCTTTACCCTACATTTTAATATAATAATTCTATGTCGTATCCTTTTTTTAAAAGTAATGTTGTAAGTTTATTTTTCATATTATTGGTGTGTGACATCATCTGACGACAGCAAACAATACAATCTATCCAAATATTATATTCATCAAACAGTTCAATACAGTGCAGTATAATATAATACGATACCTTATAAAATGACATGTAACAACCATCCAAACAAGTTGTTAATAACAATAGATTGGTCTAAATTATGAACAAAATAAAGCTCTATTATTAAATTAATAACATGTGTAAGTAAATGCAGCTTAATTAACTACTGACTTGTAATGATTTGACAAGAAGTCGATTTAGCTCTAAGAAATAGAGGTGATTCCCATGTAGGTGTCTCAATACTATTTTAGTTACGGAACAATTATTATGATCAAAGCAAAATCTTTGGAGTTCATACTAAGAAATTATGAATTCAAAAGAAAACAAGAAAATAAAAGAAGTTGGTAACACTTGTCTTTTTTGCAATTTTGGGTGGCATATTTCTACCTCTTATTGGATGGTATATCAATTGCCGACTTAGATCTTCCAACTACTTTATCTCTTTTTAATTTGTTTATTTTTGGTTATGCTATATTTGGTGTTAAGTAAACAATTTGTCTTTGGTGATTAGCAAAACTAAAACAGCAATTTTCAAGCGATATGTTAAATTTCACATTTATGGGATTGTACTTTAGTATATATTTCATTACTTTAAAGAGCAGGTTTTGTTGAAGGGAAGTCAACTATACTAGTATACCACTTATGAGCTATGAATTTTTCAAAAGAAGGTAACAAATTTCAATAATAATCTATAAAATTTAGGAATCAAAAGTCATTTTAGTGTCGTGATCTCTCAACCGCTTTCTTTTATGACAATATCACAATAATATTGATGTATGCTTCTTGTTATAATTAAAGATATGGAAGAAAAAAGCCCGTGAAATTTTCTGAATTCACATTTAAGTTCACAGTTATAATTATTTTGATTCACAATTTCCTATTTGTCCAAGGAGAAGCTTTTTCAACTGACCTACATAAAAGAAATAGTGGCTAAGCCTAGCTTAATGGTGTAGAACTGGCACAAGATAGCCGCTCTAAAGGGTTGTTATTTAGGAATTAGTCAGTACGTCTTGAATTTCAGTTTTTCAAATTTTTTTGGGATAAAAATGTCCTGAATTGTCCTGAAATTAAGATTTTTAGTTTAAAATTTCAGGACAAAATAAGTACTGACTAATCTCTAAATAGCATCCCGAAGAATGGTTATCTGTGCACTTGCCCCTTAATGGTAGGAGCTCAAGTGCACCCCTTTTGTAGCTCAATATAGCATCATGTGGGAGACATTAAAAAAAAAACAATTTGGGTGTACAAAACGTCCCGCATCTACATAAAGCAGCCCGTATTTACGTATAAAAGCAGCCTGTATTTACGCAAGGCCGGGAAAGGGCCACCAAAGGTGTGTGACGGGAACTTAAAATTGCAACTCATAGTGCAAATCTCAGTAGCACTCACGAGAAGGTTGAAATTTAGCTCCAATTGTGACGGACCTTATAGGATCATTGGTAACTTCATTGACAGACCTTCAAGACAAGGACAGTGTGAAGATGCGAGATTGTAATGTGTTGAGAACGATGCCAAAACTAGTTCGAAGAAGGAACGCAAATATTTGTCTATGCACAATAATTTTGATAGGGGCAAAGCTACATTGAACACACTTCGTCGAAAAATTACACTGCATATATAGGTAAAATATTAGATTTTAGTGGTATATAATATTATATTGAACACCCTTTATCGGAATTTTTTTTTCACTTCTTTCAAATTTGAACACCCTTTAAGAAATTCCTGGCTCCGCCATTGTTATCACGTAACCACAATTAATAAACCTTAGATAAAGAATACATGTGACACTCATTGCTTTGGTGCATGGCCCAAACAAGAGCATTATAAAGATGTCTGAATACAAATGCCTCTTCTTAAAAATCGCCCTTGATCAAGTCAGTTGACGAAATCCATGAATGACTGTAATAGCACACATCCAACAACAACAACAACAACATACCCAGTGTAGTCCTACAGGTGAGACTAGGGAGGGTAGAGTGTACGCATACCTTATCCGGAGATAGCACACATATATTCGAAATATAATAACGTGCACGTCCAACTACTAAAATAGATAATCTGAAAACTAAGTAATGTAATAGTCACCGTTCTCCATTTAAGCTTTCATATATTAGAACTTCGAAGTCATAAACTAGGACAACATACTATTAAGCTCAGTCCATATGTTCCTACAAAATAAAGCTAAGGAACTCACTAGTTCCGTCCCATTGCATTTCTTACACGTTGTAGGACACGCACAAACTCGTGAAACAACATGAAATCTAAACTTGCATGACTATCAGTATCTGCAAATAAATTACCTTTAGAAGAGTATGTGCAAGGACTCTGGCATACGATGAAATCAAAACCACCAAACTTCTTTATCAAGACCTCTACCTTGTTACTGGTCAACTTCTGAATGTCTTCAATCTGCACAAGTTCTCCTGTTTGTCCCGAACTACTCCACCATTGCTTGAGAATTCTCCGGTTTTTATCAGAAGCCTCTACGGAGACAACAACTTTTAAGCGAATTCCAAGGCGATGCAATGCAATTTCAGCTCCACCAGTTCCAG